CATCAAAAAGTGAGAATTAAAAAAAAAAAGAAGAAGAAATTATTGGGAAAAAAAGAAGAAATTATTGGGGAAAAAAGAAATTAAAGGGAGGTAATAGCCAATATATCAAAGTGAATTTTGTATTACATATTCAAGTAGCCATATTATGCTAATTGTACACAGATGCTGTGACTGGTTACCTAACAGATTAGGAGCATAGATAAGACCACAAAGATTATGATATTTGCAGAAATACCCTATATCTTACTACCACATGCTGGGTACCGATATTTGCAGTAATTCTGTACATGCTACGACCACATGCAGGGAACCGTTATCTGACGCTGTACAGTTATCTCAGCGATTATACCTACTAATTATATTGTCATGTGGCATGTAATTGCTGCTGATTTTAATTGATTGAAGATTACATCATCAGAATAACATTTCCTAAACCAGATTTTTCAACTATTTTTCATTTTTTTGCACCATGTTTTCCTCCTTATTAATTGAATCTGCAGCTGCATTTATGTCTTAATTTCTAATCATCAAACAGCATGTGAGTAGGTAATTACCAAAACTTCATCTCCCTCGTGTAATTATGATATACCCAGAGTGTTAGGTAAATATCTACATATGTAATTAACATAGATCATTAGGATATTACTATTTGACTTTACGTCTACAGACATATTAATTACAATAAATCAAAAATATTGTTAAGAAATTAAATCAATTATTTTTTTTAACACCTGAGCTGAGTGTTCCTTATTTTCATATTTTTGCAAAAGCTTAAAATCCAACCTGAGAACTCTTTATGTTGAATCATAATGGGAAAATCTGGCTTTTATTGATGGGAGTTACAGCCCCTGATAATATAGTTAAATAATCTATAAAAAGACAGGCAAAAGTGGATCTCCTTTACTTAACCCAGCTTAAAATACCAAACTGTTATTATATCAATTAATTCCCATCTCAATTGCTAAATTAGGTTTCTATATTTTTAATTTCACCGTCATCTGTAACAGAAGTTAAATTATAAAAGCAAACGTATCAAAATTAAGCAAAATTAATTAATGAAAATTTAAGAACAATACCTCCTTGGTCAGACCCTATTTGATAGTATATTCCGGAACTGAACGAGAAAGCACTCCCACCATGATAACTGGATCGTTTCAGATCATCACAAGTGCAGTCACAACCAAACATGTTCGTATCACATTCAATACACAATGTTTCAAACGCAATTACATTCAATCACAAAATATTAAAGTTTCTTACTAATATTTTTCCCCAAGTAAATTCCTCTCAAGAATATTGTGTTCAATGAATCCAAGAATCCTGGTACATATTTCCCAGGTACTTCATGGCATAATCTGAATCCTGCTCAATATCCAATGTTTGTAAACAAATCTAACACTTTTTTTTACTTCTCTCCCTGACATATAAATTGTTTCTCATCAAATGTTCAGTGCAAGCAATGATCTGTAAACTAGTATCATAAGAACTTGAACCATATCCTCATTCCATTTTTAAAATTGTTTGAGTCCTGCAATTAACTCACCAGCGTATCTAATTTCTCATGTAATTCATATAATTAACATAAATGCAATCAAGCCATGCCTGTCATTATTTCAGGGTAATAACTGACTGACATTCCTCTCTATAATTTACCCCTTTATCCAAATATTGTGTTTATCCAAGTACTATACCAGTCACAGTACAATACATTGCAATACAATGCAAGCCTTAATCTTAGGCAATAAAAAGCCAAAGTCTTAAATCCACATTCAATATTTGCACAGAAAATCTGCTAAATCTGGCAAAATCCAATCTTCAAGCAAAGGAAACATCATCAAAGGCGTCAACACGTTTTCTAATGTTTTCTTGCTAAACTCCTCTTTAATCCACTTCTCACATTTTCATTCCTATGAAAACACATTAGCAATGATCCCTCTCCAAACTATCACTGCCATCCCATTCAAATCTTTTCCCTTTTTTCTTTCCTCATCAGGCCCTTTAAAATCTTGCCCATTTGCATGTTTTCTTTACAATGCTGGCTTAATAAACTCCACTCAATGCTTGCTCAACCGGAATTTCCAAATTACTCTGGTTCTTCAGATAGTAAAATATTTTTTTCGCTGTAACCTTTTTCAGTGAGGGAGATATTATAGCTAATTGACCATTTGTCCATGCATTGGGAATGAGGACTCCCTCATTTCACATTGTCCAATAAATCATAAAAATGGTGATTCAGCCAAAAAAACGCTAATCATTTCAACTTGGAAGTGTCCTTTAGTAATTGCTACAACACATTTTTCTCATATTTCCACATAAATAAATCAAATTCTAACAAGAATACTTTTTATAGCTTTTCAGTTAATTTTTTGGATCATTGGCAATTTTCTTTATATTCATGCATATTGTTACAATCATAAACAGTTTTGTTCAGAGAATTATAACTTTTTCATTTTCGCATTATTTCCCACACTTATTTCCATAAATCTCACAGCAAAGTTACTATTTTGAAACACAGGCAGAAGAAAAAGATCAACAATTTCCAGACAAATTACACACAGAAATTGTCACATACAATCTGCACAAATACTTTTCTATCTTTACAATCCAGAATACACATACTGATATCTCTTCAAAGAGCTATTTACCATACTTTATGCTACTTTCAACATTTCAGGTGTATTTTTTGAGATACAAGGGAGATCACTCTAACCTGATTGTTTCTCATCTGTCAATCATGACAGCCAATCAGTGATGTCATCTATTATCTCATCTTGTTGATAATACATCACAGGTGCCTGACTGTATAGTGTTACCACCTTGTTACCAACTGTGAACAACAACAACAACAACAACAGCAGACCTTAGTGCAGATATCAAAGTATCACCTGCCTTCTCTCATTCTACTAACTATTGATTGATAAGTTATTCCTGTCCTCACTTTTAATTCAAAACTTTTTTTTCGACATTTAATACTCTCTGATCCAAAGTGAAACCATATGTTCATATTTTCTCTTCTTTTTTTTTTAAATTTGTTTTTTAATTGGGTTTTTTATGACATTTAATATTCTCAAATCCAAATAGAATCATTTCTGTCATAATATCATAAATACTTTCATTTTTTTCTTGTTTTATTCTTGTTGTACTGACCAGTTTAGAGCATAATTCTTTTCAATTTAAAGCAAATAATTATTTCACTTTTCTTAACATAATTATGCTTTCCTTACAATAATATTTTCAATTTTTACTTCATTAAATCCTATTGCAATCTGATCATATAAATTTATTTCATTTTTCCCTCATATGACTGTTATTTTTTTAAACATATTTTCCCTATAATAAAATTATTTCATTTTTTTTCCTAATATGCTTTACTTATATTATTATATTTCTTTTTTAATTATTTAACATGTATTGCAATTTGATATTACTAATTAAATTCATCCCTCCCCTTGAGTTTGTTGCTGTTTTTTCTTCTATACATGTACACATGTATATTTTCCTTCACATAGAATAATATTTCATGATTTTTTTTGTTTCCATATAAATTGAGAGATTCAGTACAGAAATTCTTTCTTACATAATAAACATAAAACTTTTTTGACATCCAGACAAAATCTTCAATTCTTTTTATTTACAGCTGAAAAAACTATGGTGAAAATCAGAAAATCTACAAGACAGAGTTTTACTTTTAATACATTTTGACAAGTATTACTTAACAACACCAGAAAAAAAAACAACATTGCTTTTATTCTTAAAGTAAAAAGCAAATCTTTCAAGAGATATTACAAAACTTGATACAAGGACAATTTTCTTTAGAGAAATACCAGTATACCAACATTTCAGACTTTAAGAGTGAAAATTTGATTTTGAAATGGAATTTTGGAAACTGTACACCAATTGGTCTGCAAATATTTTGTCGAGGGTTTCACACAATTGGAGGAAGTTTTAACTGCTTGCCTATTGTGCTAAAATAGGGGACATATGTTACATTGCATTAAGTTATATTGGGACTTTCATGTGTTCTCACACATTGTTGCAACTGCTTAGCAGATCTGCTTCAAATTTGGTGCTAATTTCATACACTCTTTGATATGGGTGTTTTTCCCCATTTAATAATGATGTAACATAGGGCCTGCAAACACCTGTTGTAAAAAACCACTAAAATACTTCACACCACCTCTATACTTATCTATTATTCAACCTATTCAATTGTTTGAGGAAACAAAATCAAAGCTTTCACAGTTTGACTGTACCTATCAGATGGAATTTTCCCTTTTTTGTGTCATTACCTAAATAATACCTATTACCACTTTAGTTGATTTCCTTTTGTGTTATTTGGGGGAATAAATACCTAAACGGCTAGCCAAATCTCCATTTATAAGATTATACACAAAAGGGTTAAGATAAAGTTTAAGATCATTCTCTTATTGAAACAAAATATTATAGAATTTTACTTATATTAAAGAGTCTAAAAGTGACTTAAAAGTAATTAAGACACTAAAACAGACACTGATTTATCTTCAGATTAATCTTCAAAGAATTTTTTTTTCTAAAATCTGGTATTAATATTTTCATTAAGTACAATTTATTTAAAGTCCAAAGGTTCAACAGTTACTACAAAGGGCTTTATTGAAACAGATCTAAACTTAATATAAAATAATTTTTGATTGTGTGATTTATTGATGCTACTCTATTTATTAATGTTACCACATAAATTACAACAGCCATGCATAACAAAATACGAACACTCAAAAGCATGAATTGCCTGAAAAAAGAAATATAGGAAAAAAAGAGAGCCAAAACCAGCTAGTTCTTGGAAGGAAACTAAAATTTCAACTAAACCCATTTTCAAAGAAGTTAACAATTAATTCAATAGTGGTCAAAGATTTCCGAGGTCAAAAAACAATATCTATACATTATGTAAAATAATTCATTCACATCAAATTATTACTTGATTAAATAAGCTTATTCCACTTCAAGCAAAAGGGCATTATTTTTACCTGCTAGAGAGAATTGCACAGGACCTGGTGCTCGATTCTCTCCGTCTGAGTCCTCCGATAAAGACAGGTGCGAAACCTGATCGTTTCTCATTCTGTAAGTGTCCATTTCATTGGACGATGAGACGGTACTGTGCGGGGAACCTTTCCTCCAATGCCGACGTCTCCGGTTACTTGATGACGAAGTATCATTATCGTCCTCGTCACCATCCGACCCGCTCACGTAACTATACAAACGTCCATTAGAAGATGTCTGAGATGGGGTGCGACCTTTGATCTTTTTGTGAGGTGAAACGTTTCTGTTGGTTTGTTTGTCCATTAGTGGTGTTATTGGGGTACTCATGTACTCATTTCCGGTACTGATTCCTGACAACATAAACACAACACAACATTTATGATGAGCAACACGGAACATATTACGACAACATATGTGCAACATATAAAAACGACTAACACATTGATTTATCATTGATTAACCATCTTTTAGACACAACAGCATTATGAATAACAATATACCCTCAATATGCAAAACAAGAATTGTACAAATATGTCATTTGTTAATGTCTTCAATGTATTTCAATTTCAATGGGTTCTTTTTTACCTTGTAATTTTTTCAACCAATTTTTGAAAAAAAATCTAGCATCTTTACAATAAATGAAACATAAGCATATATAAAAGCACATAAAAAAGCCTATAAATAAATGTGGAGACATGAAAGTTTTTATATTAACTTTATAATGCAAATAACAAAGCCAGACTTTGGATTGTTCTGATAAAAACACAAATTATTTTCATTTCTAAGCAACTATAAAAATGTCAAAGTTATATTTCTATGAAAATAATCCACCAAGAATTAGGAACCTGATACCTCGGTGATCAAATATATCCATTATTCAAAAAATTGTTTTTCATAGAAAGTAATGTATAAGTCTCCCCCAACCAAAAAAATAAATAAAAAAATACAACAATATGACAATTATTGTCAGTAAATTTCAAAGTTATTTTATTTGTGTACATTCACTACAAGCCTTATTTACATATCAGTATAGCATTCAGTCAGCCTAATATATCAGTGCAGTACAGATATATAATGACTAATAATAAGACATAAAACTACGCAAATATACCAAACATATTTTCTACATTATCAATTTTGTTGTACAAGATACATTTAAAGAACTATCATGCTTCCTGTCAATACCAGATTCAAGAGAGTGAGAAAATCTAACTTTCTGTCAATACCAGATTCAAGAGTGTGAGAAAATCTTGCTGTCATTCAAGAGAGTGAAACTCAGAAGACCATGCTTTCTGTCAATAACAGATTCAAGAGAGTGAAAAACAGTCTTGAATTGTACATATTATGTATTTTTATGTAAGAAGAATGATTCAATGCACAATATCAATCTGATGTAATTTTTTATTCCAATTAACTCAGACATTCATGCCCATTTTATAATTGCCAATTCAAACCAGCTTTCCATCTACCCGTGAAATGTCGTAAAAGCGACAGTTTTCATTTTCCGACAGCTTAATTTAATAAAGCTATAATTACAATTGCAATTACAATAAAGCATGTCTATGTTTCATAGAATAACTATTTATACAATTATCATAAATATCAAAATAATATCGCAGAGGCTTAAAATGAATTTGATTTACACTTCAATTAAGCACAATTTAATACATTAATTATCATTTTATTATTTGATAAGACATAGAATCTACATTCCATTATTTTCAAATGATAAAAAGGCTTATCAGACATGCATAGCAATGTCATTAAATGAGCTACAGTATAATTGAAATATATCTATTTTTAGAAACAAATTAAAATTTGGTTTTGTAAGTTCAAGCTAAATTATCCCCCCTTTCAGGCCATTGGGTTTTAAGATGTACAAACATTTTCATCATTAACTTCATTTTGAAGGAGAACAAATTGTGCCACACGTAGCCTAATTTCTGACAGGAACATACATCTCGTTAGCATTGTTTGTCAACTTCCCATCAGTTTGCTGGAACTTTCTTTACATAAAAGAATTCAACATCTCTAATGAAATTTGAGTCAATTAACTGTTATGAGACTTGACTGTGATTTGGAGTTGCAAACTTTAACCACTCTCATATGAATGGCTTCGAACATGCTTAACAAAATCCTTCACCAAATTTTCTGTTAAAAACCTTCATAACTAAATAAATCATATTTAAATGTGAACTATGACCTTGCGCATTTCAGTTCCCAAACAAAAGCAGGACATTACAATGAACGATGATATATACAAAATTACTTCCTATCAAACGATGCTACAGAGTTAAGTGCATTACAGCTCGGGCAATCATTGGACGGGGAACCTTAAATTGCAATACCTTGCCTGTATTCTATCAATTTATTGGTATTAGCTTCAAGTTCATTATTTAAGATGTTATCGTATTGGAATTTATGTCCGAGAATGTAACATTAAACTTTTATCACTCAAAACGCATTTCCGGATAGCTATCATTCATTGTAACCTAAAACTGCCAGATCGCAAATTGCAATTTATTGAAATGTAACTCGATATCTCTAAACGAAAGTGCCACAATATATCGAAGATGGAAAGTAGTAAAACGTAATAATATATCAGTAATGTAGAAATAAATTTAGACAATCATACGATCAATCGCCGGTAAATAAAAACGATTCACAGAACCAAACAAGTTTTAATCAATTTGTCGCATGAATTTTTTATTCAGCACAACGTCAGCTTTGATGGTCGGAGACCTAACAGGAAGTAGATGTAAATAAAACTTGGACAAACTGACAGGTTTATGCTACGGATGCATGCTAAAACTTTGTACATCATTATGCCTGCTGACATGGGCATTTCCAGTGGAAGTGACAGAATCACTTTGGAACCAGTCTCACCTTCTTTTTGGTGATTGAATTACTGAGGTTGAACTAGATCTATGATTTGATATCAATAGAATAATGTGCATGCATGAATATTAGAAATTATTTTATGAAAATATGTAAATTTTCCTCCAGAAATCAAATAAAACCAAGCAAACTGAAGTAGTTATCAAGAAGACTGTCTCCTGAGACAAAAACACAAACAACAACAACAACAAGAAATGATTGTTATTTTATCTGAAACCTGAAAAAATGCAATTGTCATTTGTTTTACAAAATAGTCCAATAGCGAAAAAACACAACTTAATGGGGAATATTTTTAATTGTACCTTATCTTTCCTTGCAGATGTTTTCTTTTGTTATTCAAGAATTTTCATTGCATTAACAACAAAAAAACATCATGAAAATAAAGTTTACATTCTCAGAAAAGCTATTATTTGATAAATGTTGTCTCATAAGATAAAATTAACTGCACAGAGGTAGATAACTTAACAGCTCTTAAAATTAAATTTGTACACTATCAAGATTATAAATTGTACTTCTTCATGAAGAGTACTTCTACAGGCAGCATGATTAATCATACTTCTTTCTAGAAGAGTACTTTTTTGAAAAACAATAATTAGAGTCAGAGGAAAGTAATGAATAATGAAACTTGCCTATCTAGAAAATTATAATAACATGGATGACAGAAATAACAAATTCTTTACAAGAATTCAGTATTTGATACATACCGGTAATTAATTATTGTAATAAATTATCGGGAAAGATGTCTTGCAGCATTAAAATGCCGAGTCATCTACTGGAGCACATAAGTCAAATAATAAATCTAACATTACTGCATGCAATTCAATGATTTTAAAGAACTACTAAAAACAGTGTTGCAAATAAACTGTTAAACCTTAGGTGGTGCCCTTGGCATGGGCATGTTTAATAATCTTCATATTTACTGATATAATTTCTCATAAATTTAACGAAAATCGAAAAATCGTAAGAGAATACCTAAAATATTTTAAACATGTGAGGAATAGATAGCAAAAATGGTTTAAATTACCTCTGAAACCATCTCAATTCTAAGTTACACAACACGTACTTAAACTTCTTCAAAATATTACTTTTAAAGAGTAATTTAGAACTTTATGAATAGTGTTATTTTTTTTTGTAACTTTTCCTCAAATGCAAATGCATTGTATCTTTACATGGAATAGCATTTATTTCATTTTGTAGGAACTGTCAAAGCAATAATATTCAATCAACACAAAGTATTACATAAAGTATTCATACAATTGTCAAATTCTGTCTTATTAAAAGCTATGTCCGAAAAGAGAACCCTCGGCTGTCAAACAAATTCCTATTTCTAGACTGAATAACGGGTTTCAATGTTTAAAGCAGGGAATATAACAAAAGAGCGAACAAATTAAATTAGACTGAAGATCTACATTCAGAAAATGAAATCACCCTGACAGTCTAGTAAGAGCATTCAAACCCCTACCAGCAGTGTTAAATCAAATTTTCTCAAATTGCTACAATTGGTGGACAGGCCATATTGAGGTTTACCAGATTCCCAGTAAATTTGATTTCCTTACACCCTTTTAATCATGTCCACTTATTGAAAATCAACTTATACAATGGCACAATCTTGATCACTCCAAAGATTGCCTGCCAATCTTGATCACTCAAAAGATTTGTCAGTCCGCTGCTTGATTTGAAAAAAGCTTCTGATGGACCCTGAGTGACGCTTCATATTTATTAGACCAGTATCCTCTTTATGTTCAATTAGTGTTCAGCATGTCCCTCAATCACTAGCTCACACCTGCCCCTATATCCTAAGAAATTTATTACCTAACTGATGAACATTTTTATTTTAAATTCTAATTTAGAACAGAAGATAGCCTCCCTCATCAGGTTCTAACATCACATTAACCAAATTATATGACGCCCTGCCTTAAAATGGAACTCTACCATTCCTTAATTTAAGAACCCAAAATTAGACCAATCCAAATCAAGTTTTAGTACCTTGTCAGCCAAGACCTGAAAGTAACCCCTTTATGTGTATTAGACTTACCTTTGCTTCCAATTTGGAACATTCTATTGTTAATATAAGGCATTTAAATTGCAAAATATTTAATATTAAAAGCAATATAGTTTATATTATATATTGTTTCATTACTCAATCTACTGTCCCTATACTTTCAGTATAAATCATGAAAAAAAATCCCAATTACTAGCCAATCCCTATGGTTAAAGGAACTGCACTGAGGTCAAGGACCTAAAAACATGAAATTTGATTTTCTTACATAGATCAATTAGGACATTTGAAATAAAATGATATAAGGGCATTTCAAGACGTAGATATGCAAACAAGTGTACTAATTATCTAAAATTTTGCTCTAATGATCTAAAATTTTGCACACAAGTTATTGGTCTAGACTTACATCAAATGAATAAATCAATCTCCAAAATAATATTTCCAGTCCAGTCATATCAAAAAACCTCAGCGCAGTCCCATTAAGCCATCTAAAATCTGTTAGAACTGGGCTGACAATTATTTTCAAAACAATGAATTTATAGGTATGAAAAGTATAATTAGACATACAAGTACATGGGACAAGAAAATTTCCTTTATCTCTAAGTTCATTGGACATATAAATCAAACTCACTACTTATTATTGACCAATATAACATTCTATCTATGGCTGCAAGTCAACACCTTTTCTCTTAATTGGTCATTATGCCCAATAGACTTATAATATAACATGAAAACATTGCCAAGAATGTTTGTGGGGTTTTATATCATGTTAACATCAAATTGACACCAATTAGCTACCACAATCTACTTTATGATCCAATAACCAATGCCCCGATGCCTTACCTATATACCTTACAAAACATAAAACAAAAGAAAAACACCCAAAAATATACCAGCAAATTTATTGACTTGTTTGAAAGGCAAATCACTGGTAATGAAGTTAACAGCTGATGTTAGGTAGACTAAAGTGATTTGTTTTGAAACAAGGGTTAGGCAAAATTTAGATCTGAGGAATTTTCCTAATTATCACCATAGCAGTGTTATGTAAATTGAAGACCAACCAAACTTACAAAATTATTATAGCTACTCACAAGTTTAACTCTTTATATATTTCAACTTTTAAACAATTGTTTATTTTTTTTACAATTTTCTATTCAGCTTGAATATACAAAAAGAAAGCATCAAATTTCTTTATATAATTACCTTCAGATGTAAGAAACATTTTCATTGTAAAAAAAGTTTAGGTGTAAAGTAATTCTAAAGAAGCACAAAACTTTAAAACAAATTTAAATGTTAATTCTGGAACTAAAACTACATACATAAAATAAAAGAAAACCAATACATCTTAAGACAAATGTTGCCACATAATTATCTAAGGTGTTACCAAAACTTAGTTTTCTCCCCCAAAATATTATTGTTTTAGAGCGAAGCAAGCTTTATTATCATTATTCTAATTATGTGGCTTACATTATAAAGTTGCGCAAAATAACGAGCAAAAAATGCTTCCCTCGTAAAATGAACATTACTTTGCGAATGTAAATAATTGAGGTTAAAAAATAATTTGCTGGGAAATAGTATAGAAAGAAGATGAAAAAAATGTATGTACCAAAGAAAATATGCAGATATTTTTGCTAAATCTTTCCAAAAATTGCAAAAAGATGGGAATTTCAGAGTTTTCAATTTGATATCATTACTGGATTATTTGATATCTACATCATAAATCACTATGAATAGACAGATATATTATGTAGACAAAATTTTGTTTGTTTGTATGTTAACAGAGGTTACTGTTCTGAAAACACTGGGAAGATTTATGACAGTGTGGAAGAAATACTACTGGTAAAATTGTGCAGAACATGTTCTTTAAACCATTTCATGTCAAACAAAATTACCTCCACTAAAAGATTGGCACTTTGGTGTTTTGCTGTAGAAATTCCAGAGAATAGTTACAGATGGAATTTAGAACACAGATTGTAGAGTAATGTCACAGACAAATATATTGGATGGTGATATTAAAAAGCTCAAAACAATATATAAATTATGTATTTAAGAAAATGCTCAAGATAGAAAATCAGTATTTGATAGAAATTCAGTATCAATGCACAACAACTTTCATCATAGCAATCCTGTAGTAAACAATAAATTTCGAAGTCTTGAAAGTTTTCCGTTTAGTACACAATTTGACTAACAATACTTTTCTCAATTTTTAAGCAACACATATTTTCTTTCCAGTACCACAGATAAGACGGGGTATGGGATTCAATCCTCTCCATTAAAGTCTGTCAACTAGTCTTATGAGTGAGTAAAGCCAGTATTATAACCATCATAACATAATAATGTTTTCCTTCCACTATTATGATTGTCTGATTCCTTATTATAAAACATGTGGGCAGGTAAAGGAAACTATGATACCACTGATGATACAGGAATATCTGCCGCGGCATCTATCATAATATCATAATCTACAAACAACAAAATACTTATCTCCTCGACAGAAAATCGCTTTTATGTTAACATTCTTCTTAATGATACAGTCTGTCATTTTCATAATATGTTTTCTATATCACTTTGTTAGAAAAAGCATAAACAAGATCCATATCGGAGCTCATGATCAAGAAATTATTCTTTACGCAGAGAGAATTTCTTAATGCTTTCACAGCCTTTATTATTATCAATATTTCCGAGATCTATAAATCATATTGTGTTGATAAAAGATGACGATAATGTAAATTTCTTTCTCCTGTAAAACAAATCATCGCAGAGATAAAATATTGCACTGGAGTTATTTTCAGATAGAAATTACAATTTCAGTACGAAAAAATGCAATGTATATCCATTTTCACCTATAAAAGTGGTTTATATTTCAAGAAGTTCATATAGCAATGAAGTTACAATACAACATTTCAACAGAAGACAATTCTGCATCAAACCATTAAACTTAAATTTCAATATGTCAGGAAGGTATTAATAAATTTTACAAGTCATAACAAAATTTATAGTATGAAACATAATACACAAGAATGTTAAAGCATCTAATCTAACAAAAGAAACAATATTCTAGTATCTATTCTAAACAAGTCTAAGTCAAACCAAAAAGGAGGAGAATAAAAATTTCTTTATAAGAGAGAAGGCTGCAGCAATATAGCATCCATCTATCTAAAAAGAACACAGTTCATCAAAGTAACTGAAATTAATAAAACAGGCTATAAGAACACCAACAGAAAGCAATAGAACAAAGCTGAAAGATTGAGAGACACTATAAACTTTGAACAACATCCAGAAAAGGGGATACTGTGGAAAAAGGTTCAAACCTTCACTGTAGGGTATGAGAAGAAGTTGTTTTGGATAGTTGTAGACCTGTTCCTGGTCATTGGATAGAAACCATGACAACCGTTTGCCACCATCAGAGTCTAGAAGAGATGAAATAGATACAGAAACATTTCTAGTTAACTAACTAAACCACTACAAGGGGTAGATGTAGATGACAATGAGATGAGAGAGGGATAAAGTGTACTTAATGTCACAAGGACATACTGTAAATGACTCCTATAGCATTGCTGCAATGTTCCAAGGCATGAGCACATGTGGCAATTTATGATTTATATAATATTTTTAATATCAAATAAAACTGGCAGGTAATTTATCATTGAGAATTGCATTTATATATATTCAAGCTTTATAAAAAGTGAATTAGTCCATAATGGAAAGTCTACAACACTATAAATGTGCTGCTAGTATTTAGTATCATACACGGCAACAAATCACGAAAGAATGATAATTATACTGATGTTGTATACAATGAACATTATATAATTTTTTTTTTCAAAATATTTATAATTATTCACCATATAAATTTTCATAGTTACGGTAATCACTTACATCTTTGTCAACATTTTTTTTTCCATGAAACATTTTATAAGAATATCCTTTTTATCAATATCTAAAATACTTTTGGAAAAATTGTGCCTATTTTAGACAAATCCACTAATTTTATGATGCTATTTTGCATAAAAATATAATATTTTGCCACAATAAAATTATGTTTATAAATATTTACCATCTTCATAACTTGTTTCTGCAGTCATTATTTGAATTCCCTTGTACAGAATCATTTATGATCCAACTCTATTTAATCCAGTATAAATAGGCCACAATTAAACAAAATGGGCCTAAAAACTCCACCTTGTGAAACACCTTGTCTTACATTTTAACAACTTTTAAAGTTCTTCTTAAATCTCAATACATTTACTTTGTTTATAATCACAATACTGAATTCCTTTTATCTATTTCATATTCCTGCTAAAATTTATAAATCTTTAAATCCATTTCTGTTTCTATGTTTACAAAAGCCAATTCATACACATCTCCCCAATTCACTTGCCTACAGACACATATTTATCTAAAATCATTATTTCCCCACATATCAATTTAGTCTTAATTCTCCAAATCTTATAGACAAATAAACAAGGCTGATAGTCCAAAGATATCCTTAGCAACAGTTTTGTAATATGTGTAGCCAGGGGCTGTAGGTTGTCAACATCCTATTAAACATTTACTTAGATGTAATCATTTCCTTATGATAGAAAGTAGCTGATGGTCCTATGATAGCTGGACTCCCCTTGGGGGATCAGCTCAGGAGGAGACTTATGTCATATTATAACAGGTGGGTGTTTCTAATTTAAACAATAAATCAAGATCATATAATATTGACAGAGAAACAGTTTAAAGTAAAATGAAGAATAAAATAAAGTTGAAACAACATGTGATGATTAATCTATTTAGTTAAGAACATAAGGAATAAAGAATTTTATTTATTAATGTCTAGCATCATTAATAAATATCTCCAAAAGACTTTGAACATTGGTCTCACTGGTCATATTTCAAGATGTAAAAAATCTTACTTTCATTGCAATTCAGTTGAAACTTAATCCATCAGATTTCTGAAAATTGATTTGATAGACTTCAACTGAAATTCGATGAAACGTTGGATCTTTCTAAAGTATCATAATATTTAAGAACTTTGTTTCTGTGTTTGTTTTTTTCCAGGCAGACTTCAACTTGGCAGTTGCTCCACTTAAACTAATGTTACTAACCAGAATAACAAGAATTTTCTCTGCTAGTGATGATACACATGATTTCTAAACCAGTTGTGAGAGAGTCAAATGAACATTAGACCTGATTGTCACATATAAATTTTAGGCCTTGCCGTAGGAATGAACCAGCGACTCCTGTATGACAAATCTGATGCTCTCCCTATTGACCTTAGCAAGTCTACATTTTATACTTTAATTCAATCTTCACTTTTCCTATAATGAGCTTTCTTTTCCAATTCAAGAATTTATTTTCGATAACTGGTAAATTAATTTTTCACTGTTCTGTTAAACTGCAATTATAAACTGTTCCATAAATTACAAGTTTCTTCTGTTATTAATCAAACTTTAAATCCAGCAACCTTTTGGCTTTGCCTAATTCATTTAAACTAAAACTGTTATTAGATTAATGAATACAGAAAACTATATATGATTGTTGAACCTGACAATTCTATAATGAAGCAATCTTTAACCATTGTAATACCACATGTATTCATTTAATAAGAGATACCAAAATTACTTTCGAGAATAAAAGGCAAAATAGAATATTGGCTTTGTTAGTAAATCACAACGCATTGGCTTTCACAGATCTTTTTTTTTACACTAAATTAAATGATACTTTATCCATGAAATATTCATTTATTTATCAATTTAAATTTATGTATCAAGATTTGCCTTAACCTATAATGATGGATATAGTATAATGACTGTGAGATGGGTGACTCTTGACTTCTGGTTTTAAAGCTGATTTTAACATGTTTTGGGTCATTACACAGTCATTACATCTAACTAGCATTCCTGGATAACTAACCAGTACCAATTTCAGATTACAGACTATCACAAATACAACATGATTTCGGAATCAGCTATTCTGAACTGATCTTTATTAGGAAAAACTGAGTTTTGTTTTTTGTTTTAATTCTAGAGGTACAGTGCCAAATGTAACTGACTATAAATCACTAGTCTCTTGCCTTTGTAGGTTCAAATCCCAAATTATGAACTTTAGGTCAGTGGTTTCGTCAAATGTCAACCTGTACCCAAAATAATGCACAGAAGGTCATCCAAGGTCAGGAAACTTGACAGTCACCATAATATGAATATAATTATGACCTTCACACTTGTTGGTGTGGCTTAAACTCAAGGGAAAAAATAAACTTTAATAAAGTAACTTAATGAACCAAGGCCGTCGTCGATGGTCCGGCCGGTCCGGCCTTGGCCGGACCAATATTTTGGCCAAAAATGAGTTTAAAAAAAACAACAACAAAAAACCGCATCGCTGATAAGCAATTTGACACTTAACTGGCCACTTGAAGTTAAGTGTGAAGTTAATTGACATCGACGTGGCTTCGGACAGTTCACCGTATATATTATGAATATCTTAAACTAGTATGCATGAATTCTCCGAGAACTTGATAACATTTTATATTTTGTACACGGTAACCATCCAAAAGTCATGTTTTTATCACATATCCGTGCCGTTTTTGCGACTCCGTGAAAATGGTATTGCACGGCCGTGCACGTATTTTGACGTCATTTGCGTTATACTCAATAAATGTTAGCGTTTTTCTATGGGCGTCAATGAAAAATGGTTCTTTTTCACTTCAAAAGGTACTTATTTTTGGTATGTAATAAACAAAATATTAAATTCGTGTAAGTTCATTACTGAATTTATTGAACTCGATGAATAAAATATGATACTCGACAGAGGCTTGCATAATATATTTTCATTCAACTCGTGAAATAAATCCATAATCAACTCATTAAACTTACTCAATTACATAATTACAGTGCAGGGACGGTTCCGGCCTAAGTATTTTGAAGAAATCGATCTTGCCATTGCCAGTGTTAAATAGAGATTCGACCAACCGGGATTTCGCGTACTATAGAACTATTAAGGCCGGACAACCTTTGAAGACCGAGTGCACTAGAAAACTTGGTTTTGTTTGTGATTTCTATGGCAACGATATTAACTGAGACATCTTAGAGATGCAGCTTCAGCTGCTACGTTCATATTCGACAAAGCAGAAAATAGTACTGTTACTCTACCTGACGTTTTGAAATTTGTGTCAAAACAGTCGGTGCTAGAACGAGCACTGTTCTCTGATGTCGTTGTGTTGTTAAAGATTTTGTTAGTAATGTCTGCTTCTAATGCTACCAGTGATAGGACATTCTCGGCGCTCAGAAGAATAAAGACATACCTGAGATCTATAATGTCTCAAGTACACTTGAACAAACTAATGGTGTTACATATTCAAAAGTGCAGGACAGATTCACTCAACTTACGTGTAATTGCCGACGAGTTCATTACCACCAGAGAACGACGGCGATGTGTTTTTGGAAACTTTACATAAAATGAGACTCTGTATTTTGTATGATTATTTGAACAAAATACAAGTTACTGCTAAACAAAAAGCGGTTATTGTTGACTCTTTATGTAATATTCTTCCATCATGGCATCGATTGTTATTTAAGCTTATACCATTATGTGATTTATGTTAAAACAAAAATCCACGTACTGTAATATTTTGTAATATATTGTATTTGTTTTACAATAATTATCAGATAAAATGTATCTTAAGAATTATAACAACATCAGTTATTGTTTATTTTTCATTTGCCAAATATCAATTAAATGTATTCATTTTTTTATGTACACCTGCCCGTCCGTTATGCAAACCTTAATTTTCACCACTTTAATCTGTAAAAAATCGCTGACATTTTACTATAACATGTACAAGCGACAGGCTGAAAGCTGTGCCAAATATACGCGAAAAACGCCCCTGAGAGCATCCTAGAATACAAAATTTTCCGGGGGAGCATGCCCCCGTACCCCCCTAGATTCTGACTAAGACATACCAAATTGGCCGCACCAATCACAAAATCGTGACGACGGGCCTGATGAACTCAAATGAAGCATTAATTTTATATGTCATTGACAGTAAGATTTTCTCATGGTTTCACTTGTACATGGGGGGCACATAAATCATACATGGCAAGGTGACACACTTCATATGCCAGTTATATTCAAAACAGCTTCTGGTCACTGAAGTTATTAAAATATTAATGGATCCAGCCTACTCTAAAACTGGTGTTACTTTAACCCTTGAAGGCAATACTTGTTAATACTTGTCAAAATTTGATGAATTGATAAAAAATAAAGAAATAAAACAAATATTTAAGACAAGAAATACAGACAGACTAATGTCCAGCAGTCTTCAGTAATGCGGTAATTTTGGTGTTATAGGCTCTTATAAAAATACAAGTGATTTTAAAAATGATAAAAGACAAACTTAAATCAAACAAAACCAAAACAAACATTGATAACGATCTTTAATCATCAGTTGGTTTTATTTTTACATAATCTATTATCGTTTCATACATTGATAATTTATATTCTTGTAGGGAATATTTAATTTCTGAAAATGGTGGTAAGCACTTAAGAACTTAATACATAAGTAAAAGACATTGAATATTACCTATATAAATCAGTCTATCATAGTCTTTCACAAGTGACCCCTATCCCCACCACTCTGCCACCCTCCCTTTCCCGACTGTGATCAGAAGTGGGAGCTTTTAAGTCTTTAAGTAAAATACACAATGTTAATGTCATATGGCAACTTTCCAGTTTTACTGGTTGAGGAAGACCTCAGATGCCCTTCGTGCTTTAATTCAGGCATGAGCAGAAACTTAAGTAGATCCACCAACCGGGATAGCTTCCTCACATTAAATTACAGGAGTCGAACCCATAATCGTAAGGGTCAAGTGATTGACCCTTGGCGAGCAAAACCGCTCAGTCATGACACTTAAAGACATATAATGCACCAAACAGAATAGAATCTAATATAAAGTGCCTCTATTAAAATACTTAAAACAAAGATGAACAGTTACAGAAGGCAATATGAAAATATATAAGGATAATACAACCAAAGTTCTTAAGTGCCTACTAAAAACACCTCCATTGTCAAGCCTTTAGATATACTGTGAAAATTTATACATTTAAGTTCCAATTTATGATATACTTCGATACATCTTGGCAATAATTTCCATACAACGCAGACATTTTCATAACACTAGGGAGGAGAAAAACAGACGTAGGCCCCACTTTTATGATGTATTTATTTTATGAAAGTATCAATTTTCCATCTTCATATGCATAAAGAGCATCATTCGAGTATTTATTACCAAAATAAAACAAATGGATCTCTAGCCCTGATGCTCGATTAGAATATTTGCCTTGGAACATGTTCCACAGGAAATGCAGCAGACGCACATGCAGAAGAGACGGAATTATGAAAGAAAACCTGCAATTATGATGTAATCATAACATAATATTACATGACAACAATTGATTACACAAATTTTCCCCCCTTTAATTATGCTATAATGCAGTATCAGTAACAAAATCAGACTCTTGAAAAAAAAAACACTGTTTTTTTCCCTTTTTAGTAAATCGTATTTTCTACTTTCTATAGAAAATTAAATGGCAAGTTTTGTGTGGAAAAGTATTGAAAATACGTCTGCTTGCTTTTAGTGCAAGGAAGCTTTTACAACCCAGCTTCCGTAACCTGTCACTGAATTAGTCTTTAAAATGTTGGTAAATCAGTTCTACAATATTACAGAAGTTTCTATTGTAATCATTCTTCTAGGATTACATACTGTTACTGGAATGCTTTAATAAAATTGAATTTGTTTTATGGGCTATGCCATCTTACTACTTAAAGTATCAAGTTATGAACTAAATTGAAATGGATGGTTTGAAAGCTTGAATAAGTATTTTTGAAAATCAGTAAAAATAATTTGATGCTCCAAACATGGTTTATTCTAGGAAAATCAAATAAAATTAGAATTGTCTGTATGAAATTATGCAGCTGCAAATGTTAACACTTGTTTGATTGAAATAACAATTAAAGGAACTTCACTGAGGTGCAAAAGCCTAAAACATAAAATTTTCATTTCTTACATAGATCAGCTTGGGCACTTAAAACAGAAATATATGCAAAGGATAGTTAAGAAATATACCAAGATAAAATAAATTGAAAATCATATTTTTGTGCCCTTATTAGCCTGATTTGTGTCATTTTCACAATTAGAATAATTATTCTTGGAAAATTGAGTGAGAGAATAATGTGAAATTTTGCACACAAGTTTATGGTCTAGATCTACATCAAATGGAATATAAATCTCAAATAATTATCTTAAGTCCCGTCATGTCAAAAAACCTCAGTGGAGCCCCTTTTAAATGCTAGTGTTCAAGCATCACTGGGGTTATGACCATCTCCTCTTAAATGACACTTGTACATTTAAATGTACAGATAAGCTGGAAAAAACAGGCTCAAAAACAAGACCGAAACTGAGAGAACTTGTTTTCATAATCAATTTTTTATATATAAATGTACTTTTAATCAAACTTGTTATTCACCAAGAGCTGACTTGTTAGGCAACATGTATGCATTTTATTACACAACACTAAACCTTTCAGGCACCAAAATTGGTGTAAATGCCATACTGACTTCGTAAAATTTCAATAATGACAAAAGGCAGATTAATAAACATTCGGAAATATGCAAACTTAATTTCATTTGCGAGCATTTGTGAAAGAATTATCATCGAACATGTTGCAACTTCCAATGATGTAAATCCCGTAACCAAGTGTTGAGCATATCGTCACGGGGCGCGTATTGTTCTCGAAAATGAATTAGATTGTTAGGAATGAATAGGCTTCTCGGCAGGATATTTTGAAAGATGAATGTCCGGGCACCAAGTAGAGACGGCTGTATCATTTCATAATAGCATGGAATTAAATGTTTTACCAATAAATATTACCGAGGAGAGGGTATAATGGTATTAAATATTGATATAAATCAACGAAAATAAAGACAAATATTGCAAATTACGAGACTGCCAAACAAAATTGGATGGTACGGAATAAAAAGGTTTTACTGAATTATAGCTTTCGAGGTCACAGAAAAAAGCATTGTGTAATTCATTACGTCTAATCAACTAACCAATTCTCAAGGAACCGTTTTCTTGCTTTTCTTTTAATTTTTACACGAATGGTTGAAGAATTACCACTATATGTGACCTAGTTTCAGAGAAAAAAGTTGTTATGATGATAAATTGTTGCAGTTGATGATAGAAAATAATGTCAAATCAATAATAGTTTGTTCTTGTGAAAACATGGTGGATTAGTCCAATCAAAGATTTGATGTTCTTATTTAGAAAAAGAATCAGGTAACAGTAAAACCTGTCAATGGACTACTTCTGAAACTACCTTTAAGTAAAGACCTATTGAAGAATAATGTCTAACCAACAGGGAGTATAGTATCCCCTAACTATACAACCTGTGTTGAAAGACCATCTGTTATTAAAGACCTGCTTTACCATTACACAAATTTTCAGGATACCAGGTTTGACCATGTTTGCAATTGAATATTTCATGTTGTCATAATTTTCCAACATGATAGTTTCATGTTTAAAATGTGATTTAGTTCCCATCTTTAAAACACAGACCAAACAAATCTAATTTACCATGCAATGTATCCTTTATATATTACTGAAACTGTAAACTATTTTATAATGCTAGCTCCTACTCCTATTTAGATTCAACAAGAATTATAATTTTATATGCCCTACATCTCAAGGCTTCATACATAGAACTTGCCATAATCATACATGTATATAAAATGCATGCTTCAATCTTCTCAAGCAAAATAAAAGTTCAGCGCAAACTTTGTCATAATCTGAATCGGTTAAAAAGTATAAAAGAGCAAATTATGACAAAATTGCGATGAAACTTTGGCTCATGACCTTGACCTCTTACCTAAAGCATTCAGTTTTTTGTCATGTAGAGCTGTTTTAACTTCTTCATATGGTCGTAGATTATCGTCCGAGTGAAAGTCTTCCTCGGAGGAACTATATGTTTTACTTCCACGTTTATTTCTTTCGTGAGTGCGACGACCTACTGCCCTATTTTGAGGTTTATAATTTGGTGTTGTACTTAACGAACTCATCTCCATTTTAACAGGGGAAATAACTCTCATGAAGTTCTTAGCACTGTTGTCATGGTATCACATAATTTGTCCATTAATTCTGAAAAATAAATAAAACATTTTTTTTTCACTTTCATTTACTAATTTAAATTTTAAATTCTAACTATACAGATTAAATGCTCACATTTTTACTTTCCTTCTGTACTAGATAAACTTCCATGCTGACAAGGGAATTAACTGTAATGAAGAAAAAAATCCAGTTTCCATGGCAACAATTTTGTTGCATGAAATTTTAATAAAACATTCATCATCTCTCATTTAAAATAATTAATTCCTAAAAATTTGCCTATTTCATCAACATTTGGAGTTATATTGTTAAAAACGCTTCAAATTCAACTTAAAATTCAGAGCTAGGGTCAACAACGAAATTTGTATAATTGGGTAATTTTCATACAGGGGGAAAATTTCCCCGAGAAGCTGATCTTGTTACAATTTCCTTCAGTTCCGTATTTACAAAAAAACGCCCAAATTGCGTTTTATTCCATGAAAAGTTCTCCAATTGTGAAAGTTCTCGCGGATTATTTTCATTCTACAACATGCAAATAAATCCAAAAACGCAACATGTATGAAAAACAATTCCAGTAAAATAGCTCATCATTTTATTTCAGTTCAGTCATGAATTTTCATGCATATTTGTAGATTCAATTACAAAAGTTTTTGCAGTTCACTGAATTTGGTGAAAATGCCGACTTCCTCTTCGGAATAATCTTATTTCCTGAAGATCTTATTTGTATTCATTGAATTTAAGTAACATATTATTCAATTTAACAAAATAATACAGAGTTTTAAAATTTATTGGCAATTTCAGGCGAAATCTCATATGGCAAATTCCACACTCAAGCAGTTAAGATTTTATACCCTTAATAGTATTGCCTTCACTTTAAATCAAACCACTGTGATTGAAATGTGTTCAAGTCAGACAACAGGGGCTGTTTTTTCTGCAACAAGGGCTCTAAAAATCTAAAATCAAGAAAATCATAAAACTGTCAAAGAGAAATATATAAATACAACATATGTCATGTTTTTAACTTATTTAAACTTTAAATCCAAGCAAGTGGGTTTTTTTTTTCTTCAATTTTTTTTTTATTTAAATTTGAATAACAAAATTGCAAATTTTTAACCCTTTTATTGCCATATTGTGTGATCCTTCATGAAATTTACTGAATTCATTTTAAAATAATCTCTGAAAAAATGTAGTGTACAATTAGAATATGAGCAATGAAATGCCCAACAATGGTCTCTAAAGGAGCAAATTCTTCCATGTTAAAAAGCCATCGAGCAAGCCCTATAAGATATTTCTATGAAAATCAGTTCAAAATTGTGCAAAAAAAATAATGCAGGCAGAGGCCCTTGAGTCTTCTCATATCAGTAAAGAGCTTGAATGCAACAACTTACCAAAAAGACCATAAATAGTACCTAAGCAACTTAAAAACCTGCAAGAAAATAAATAAACCCAAAGAGAACATGGAAACGCAAAAGGAAACAAAAAATTGTTGACCATTCTGAGCTTTTATCACCAGACAGCACGATATTAACATCTTAAACCAACAAGAAATTATGTAATCTTATACCATTCAATCAGGGAAACCAATTTTGAAACCTCACTTATTTGAGATTTTAGGGGTAATTCAAAGAAAATTGAAGTCTTAGCTCTTCCTTTTCAAATCAATAACAGTAGAATTAAAATCATTCGTGAATCACCCGGCAAGAAATGATTCCTTGTTAGATATAGAGAGAAGCAATGATTTCTCTAAATGATTTCATTTTCTGTAAAATGATTGAGCGACTTTCGAAGCAACTTGAAAACCTATCAATTACACAATGCACAAGCATTCTGCATTATTAAAAGCCCGTGCACCTATTAATAGGAAATACCATCAAATTCAGTTTAACAGAGCAATTTTGAATGTTTGAACTTATATTGTCTACATTAAACTTGTGCCAGTTTCCATGGCGATGTAAATTTTCCCACTTGCAAAAAAAGGTTTTTAATTGTGTAATTATTACCTGTAGAAATATAATTCACTGTAAAGTATTTTCTGCTTGAAAATGCAATTTAATTTTATTGGTACTTAGAAACTTTGTCTCTGAAGCATACAATTTAAAACTTCACATTTTTTCCATGTAAATCATTAGGACAACTTTAAAGAAGTATTTTACTTTAAAATAAATGGGAAACAGATTTTCTAAAGAAGCAATTTCAAACATTCTTATCATTACAAATTAACCAGTAAATCATTAACCATTAAATCAAAGACTTTTTCTTGCTAAAAGATATAACAGCCAATGATATCATTCAATATTCATTTTTCATTCTTACATAATTATTCAAAAGTTTATTAATTCAGATTATTAGGGCAATACATTAAACTAAGGGATCAAAAGATATATGGAACACCACTGTTAACTTCTTAATATCCAACTACAAATGCAATATACAAGTTTGCTTTTCAAATTGATTTCCTAACGGCCAAAGAAGGAACATCAGTAGAAACCAAGTAGATATAGCTTCGTCCAGAGCACTTTCCAGTGCAGCAAAACTTTGTATCTTAAATTCTATTAGCTTTCCCATAGTTCTCTAAGGAACAATAACTCACTAATATTTCACAGGGCTCTGTAATGAGCTATTATTGTCTAATGCAGAAATTATGAACATCCACGCCAATTATGACAATGCAATTAGGAAACTGCCAACAAATGATAGATGACCATTCTTTGTGGATGCATCTGTAGAGTTCAGAATCTAGGTCATCACCGCAGCTAAAATGTTTAAATAGCAACATGGGGGATTATTGTTTGAATTTTTAATGGCACAGTAACGGAAATATTTGCTGAGAAGAGTTTTTAATGAAACAGTTTATTAGGCATTTTAATTGTATATTTCTTGCTTCTAGAAACCACAAGCTAAAAGCAGCTCATTAAAACCTTTTTTTTAAAGATCTCAAGAAACTGCTCATTGGCCAAATGTGACCTTTAACTTGCTGCCTTTGCCCAGACCAGCCTACTCATGTACATTCTGCCAAGGCTCTAAATACTGTTAGTAAGCATGATACATCCATGACCTTTAATATATGACCTTGAAATTGTTGTGGTCATCTCATATTTATGAGAAGCGCTCACTGCAAATATATCTTGTTTGACCTTGACATTTCACCTTTACATAAAAATATAAACCATGATGCAAAGAGGGACAAAATAATAGAAACTTGTATAGAAACCAATGATTAGTCATATGGCAAAAAAAAAACAAGTCCCTAAACACATCCCCCCCCCTTTATAAAAAAAAAATTGGTACAATCTGAGTCCAGTCCATTACCAGAAATTGACAATTAAAAAGTATTTTGTTACAAATGAAAGAAACAAAAATCTTTTGTTACTCTCTTGAGACAGACTAGGACCACAATGCAACATCATTATAATCTCAAACTACTCTCTCAACTAAAACATCTAAATCTTGATTAGCCAGAAAATTACGTGATGACTTCCTACAGCTGTTGCTATCGGAGACAGCATACAACTCACCTAACCAAATTACTTCAAAAATCACTGTCACTCTGTTATACTTTCTTTCCGGTACATTTAACTCAATGAATAAAACGGGCATCACCATAAAAATCCCGATTCCAGAACATAGAAATGTAACATATTAATGCAAATAAATTTAAACATCTCTTTTTTAGTTGGGACGTAGTCCCAACTAGTGCACTTACAAACCCGAAATTTCCAACCATACAGGGTAACGCCCACTGCTGTGACGTTTCATCGCCACTCTATATGCTATATTGTATTCTAACATATCAAGGTAAGCTGAATTCATAGTGATCACCCGACCATGACCGACGCATAACCGCCGCGAGTGAAAAATAGTGCTCTGAATTTCTGAAAACTTCGATTTATTGCGAACAGAAGTGGAGACAAGAAATTTATTTTTTGAAAATAATGTGCAATTGAGCTTGAATTACGGTATTAGAAACGTAGCGGATATAATTTGAAAGGTCACATAATTCTATGAATGGGATAGTAAATTAATTGGGTCATAGTGCTTGACGGCTTGCAATATTTTAACTTACTCATCCGCCTTATCATCACATTTTTTTGTATTATATTCCAGAATTTTTTGAAAAAAGACATTATTTATCGGATAAATTTTGTAGTTTATAATTGCAAAGTGGATATTGAAATAGAATTAGCCAGAGATGTAGATAATCTATTCGTCTCTGAATTAGCCGATAATTAGGTTAAATGAATCCGACAACTTCCGGTATATTTTTCGACCTACTTCACGAGCATAATTATCAGCCTGTTAAGCTCATAAGGTATGTTATAAAGCAAAATATGTTATGAATTTGATGACTTATAATATTAAGTTTATTTATTGATGCCAATTTGTTTCCGAGGACTAAAACTTTCGTAAATAATTTCGAAGTAATTTGGAGATCTCGAGTCTTTCGTACCCAAGACATTTCGATCATACTTAGACTGCAAAACCGACAGATTTTACAAATTGATATTACACAGATGTCTGCCTTTACAGGAAAACCGGCATATACGCCTACAATTTTTTGGTCTTGTCACGGCCGTTACGTCTCTAACCAAATAGGGCACATTCTTGAATATTTCAGAATAATTTTATTTTGACCTTTATAAATTATTATATATATCTATTTAAAGTCTAGCCATTTCATTTTAGGTCATCTTTTTACAATTTGAATAATTTTTCTGGAAAAACGAAGTGTGCAAATGATCTAAAGGTTTGTACAAAGATTAGTGTTCTAAACATTCATCAAATGGTACATTTATCTGGAAAAAATATTTCAGTCCCATCATGACAAAATACCTCAATGGAACCCCTTTAAATTGAATTTACACTTTTTTTAAATGTATGGGTAAATTCCATTTTCAGTGGTTGAAATTTTCCTCTTTTCTGATTAATCAAGCTATAGTTTCCCATTTATAAAGCCACAGGTTGTTTTGAAAGTTCAAAAAAATCACTGCCACCTTGATAATAGTTAACCTGAAAAATCTTCAGGCACTTAAAGGGATTTGAAACCCCAGACCTCTTGATTACAAGGCAGACACACAACCATGTCGCGAAAATGTCAACACAACAGCAAGACTGTTGGAAATGATCTATACCTGTTCTCAATACATGGTTGAAGTAATTTATCAGTGTTAATTAGACATTTTATATGATTTAACAATTTTTGACACTACTGATATTCACATTTTTTTCACAAAATCTACATGTAAAAAATAGATATCATAATAAAATGATAGAACATTTTTCTATTTTAGTGGTAATACTGTGGAGTAATATGAAGAAATATTATTAATATTTTATTATCATAAATTTTTCAAATTTTAATTATGTCATTACATGCTGTACACAATCATATTATAGTGTAAACATATATATACATTGTATAGACACATATATACATTGTATATACCAGAGACGTTAAAATACATAAAATGAATTTATATGTCTCTGTATATACACACACTAAGAGAGTAGTATTGGATGATTTTGAAAATGAAATCTCTAAATTGATATTTTCAGGGAAATAAAAGATTATTTACTTTAATATTCACTTGGAAAGGCTGGTACATGTAGCTAGAAAAAAAGTACAGTATAAGATTAAAGAAAGACTAGAAGATTATTACAAACAACAGGTACTTATATAATATTTAATGTATATTTCACAAACCAAACTGTTTTCCAAAAAAAATTAATGAAAACATGCATTTTTACCAGTGTCACCATGGGTCAGATTAACAGACCCATTCCCAGTGACAAAATAATGCCAAATATGCTTTTTTTCTTTTCCAAGTTTAGAAAAAAATCATAAGTCAAAATTCCCGTTATCAAAGCTGACAATTTTTCTTCATACCATTTCAATCCAATATGGTACCAGACAGATGATGTTCAAAAACACATTCCATTGTCAATTTTTTATGTATTTTTTATGCTTTAAATGATATACAATTTGTTGGATTAACAACTTTGTACATGGTACTAAATATTTTTCCCAATCAAGATGCAAAATTTCTTAACCCATTACTTCATGAGCATTTTGTGAAAAATGGCTGTTTTCATTGAAAAGTCTCCCATTACAAGTTCAAATTGCTATAATACTATAAAAACTGCTTCAACACTAATCAAACTTTGCACAAATGTTGACTGGACCATTGCCCTTGCAACAACATGCTCAGGCTTAAATTTTCTGTTACCATGGCAACGAGGGGACATCTCAAAATTGCCCAAAATCACTATTTTGCCTCGATTTTTTCAAACAAAATTGATTTCAAAGTGATGCCACTTCTCAATGGATTGAGATATAGTCAAATGCTTTTCAGCGTTGGTTACACGTTACCTTATGATCAATCTGGGGTCATTTACAGCCTCTCACAAGTCCAAAATTTTCTTGGCATCATGCTTAGAATGGTTTCACACAGGTCAGTAAGACCGGTGTACACTATGTACTGTCTGCACATATGAGTCAGAAAAAATATCACAAAAAAGGAATTTAGTATTACTATGAGTATTTATTAAAGAAATTGTATTTCAAATATATTTAAATAGTATTATTGAAAGTCATTTTGTATGACAGACACACAAATCTAGTGCTCTGCATTATAAATGTAAGAAGAGACAAATAAGATAAGCATTTTTTTTTGCAAATTATTGCACTTCATATAATTTTTATTGCTTTTTTTAAAGGTGGACATGTGTCACTGTCAAGCGAATGAAGATAAGCATCACATTCGGTGGGAATCTCCAGTTTCCAGATGTAGTGATCATAACTGTACAGGCACCATTAACACTTTGGACTAGTTGGAGTATTGTAGAGGGCTAGTCTGAATTGAATCCCCTGTCAATAGTAAAGGCCAGTCATGAACATTGTGTTGAAGGAAAATGTTAAAACTCGGATTTTCCGCTTAACCAATCATTACTTTACCTTATATTCAGTGCGGTAATGTAGGAAATGGTTACTTTCTGGAACGGAGCTGTCAATTATTTTTAATTTTTTAGCTTGTTAGTGTTATCGTCGGACAGTTGTGAAGTAAAGACATCGCAGTTTGACTGTATACAAGTTGCCTTAAAGAAAGTATGTCGAAATCTTAACAGTTATTCGTTGATTTTGTAGAAATTGACCAGAATTCACCTTTGTTTACACGCATCGCTTGGACGTCGAAAACGACATGCAATGACATTTCAGTGAAATTTGGAAACTTGCATTTTTGGAAACTTTGGAGCATTTTGTAGGATTTCGATGAAGTAAAAAGTGTTTATGATAGGATACATTATTCCTAGAGGCAACCACAAAGATAAAATAGTGATCTGGTGTATTTTTACCGAACAGTTCTTGTTTGTTTTGCATGATATTTTTCTCTCGTTAGGGACCTTTATTCTTTATATATAGTATTATGAGCGTATATGGGTAAATGTGGTATATAGTGCCTGTGGTTTTAACATGTATCTTAGCTTGCCTGGTGTAATGATAAGTAATAAACCTGAGAATTGAAACTATGAGAATAAATTGTTGTTATTAGTCCCCTTCTATTTTCATTAAGAGGGGACTAAAGGCTGACCCATTTCTGTATGTCAATGAAAGCTGAATTTTGCTATAACTTAAATGGTACAAAAGTAAGGTTCATCATACTGGTATCTGATATAGAACTATACAGAGATTTAGCATGTTATTATAATTTATGCTCCTGAAAGGGAGAGAATATAGTTGCGGTCTTAACCATCTGTCGGTATGGACTCAAGTAATATTCTGGATAAATATCTGTGTTCATTCCATACAGACTTGTACTTTTGGGGAAAAAGGTTGCTCATGGGAGGAAAATATGTTTTTAATGGTGTTTTTTAGATTTTAGTTGATAAAGGAAAAAAAACATAGTCTGTACTTAGGAAGACATTTGTCCTTCACACTCTTGTCCGAAATATGAATATAACTAGATATGTATTGAAGGGATTTTATGTAAACTTCACAAAGTGATAGAGACTTTAAAGAGGAAGTGCAATGTTCAAGAAACATAACTCTACCTTGCTTCATGTTTTAATTATATCCCTTAAGTTAAAAAATGCTTATTCCAAACTATCACTGAATCTACATCAACTTGAACGACTCGAATTTTCCAATGTGTCAAAGAACCATAACTCCATTCCTTAGTTTTTAGCTCACCTGTCATAAAGTGACAGGTCAAGCTTTTGTGATCCCTTTTCGTCCAGCCGTAAACTTTTACTTTAAATGACATCTCCTCATAAAACCACTACGCTAATTTCATCCGAACTTCACAAGAATGTTCCTTTGGCTGTCACCTTTAAAAATTGTGCAAAGAATTTAATTCCATGCTGAACTCTGGTTGCCATGGGAACCGAAAGAAAAAAAACTTTAAATATCATCTTTAAAAAAAACCCTAAGAGCTAGAGCTTAGATATTTGGCTTGAAACATCCTTTAGTGAGTGTCTACCAAGTTTTTTAAATAAAAGCCCTGGGGTCAAAATTGGCCCCGCCCCAGGGGTCATTGATTTTCCCTATTTGCATATAGTAAAAACTTTATAAAATCTTCTTTTAAAGAACCCAAAGAGCTAGAGCTAAGATATTAAGCATGAAACATCATCTAATGAGTGTTTACCAAATTTGTTCAAATAAAAGGCCTGGGGTCAAAATTGGTCCTGCCCCAGGGGGTCATTAATTTTCTTTAACCTTTTACCCCATGAGCATATTGCGAAAAATGGCCATTTTCACTGAAAAGCCTCCTGTAACAAGTTCAAACTGCTATGAAAGTATGAAAAATGCTTCAATACTAATGAAACTTGGCACAAATGTTGACTACACCATAGGCTCTGTAACAGCATGCTCAATGGTAAATTTCCTGCTACCATGGCAACGGGGGGACGTCTCAAAATTCCCAAAAATCACTATTTTGCATTGCTTTTTCCATCAAAACTGATTTCAAAGTGCTGCAACTTCTCAATGAATTGAGATAGAGTAAAAGGCTTTTCAGCGTCGGTTACTAGCTACCCTAAGATCGACCTGAGGCCATTTTTAGCCTGTCACATGTCCAAAATTTTCTTGGAGATGAGGGGGACTCCGCCCCCCTTCAAACCCCCCAAACAGAAGGGGGCACATCCCCCTTCTGGCAACCCCCTGATGTAATATTTGGATGGGGGGCGGCGCCGAAAAAGTGGTCACTTTTTTGAACAACATTTCTCAAATGAAAAACAGTGTTTGGGGCCTAAATAGGGCATTTTTTCACTGTTTGAGGCCTCAAAAGGGGGGGGGCAAAAAGCCGTCGAAACACGCTTCTATAAGGGAAAAGGTTAACAAAAAATGATGAAAAACTTTGGAATTACACAAAAACTAGATTTTCCATGTTAACACATGTCCCAACACCGAAATTTGGTGAAAAATTGTTGTTTTTTGACATTTTTTATTTTTTTAATTAACCTTTTACCCCATGAGCATATTGCGAAAAATGGCCATTTTCACTGAAAAGCCTCCTGTAACAAGTTCAAACTGCTATGAAAGTATGAAAAATGCTTCAATACTAATGAAACTTGGCACAAATGTTGACTACACCATAGGCTCTGTAACAGCATGCTCAATGGTAAATTTCCTGTTACCATGGCAACTGGGGGACGTCTCAAAATTCCCAAAAATCACTATTTTGCATTGTTTTTTTCCATCAAAACTGATTTCAAAGTGCTGCAACTTCTCAATGAATTGAGATAGAGTAAAAGGCTTTTCAGCGTCGCTTACTAGCTACCCTAAGATCAACCTGAGGCCATTTTTAGCCTGTCACATGTCCAAAATTTTCTTGGAGATGAGGGGGACTCCGCCCCCCTTCAAACACCCCAAACAGAAGGGGGCACATCCCCCTTCTGGCAACCCCCTGATGTAATATTTGGATGGGGGGCGGCGCCGAAAAAGTGGTCAATTTTTTGAACAACATTTCTCAAATGAAAAACAGTGTTTGGGGCCTAAATAGGGCATTTTTTTCACTGTTTGAGGCCTCAAAAGGGGGGAGGGGGCAAAAAGCCGTCGAAACACGCTTCTATAAGGGAAAAGGTTAACAAAAAATGATGAAAAATTTTGGAATTACACAAAAACTAGATTTTCCATGTTAAACACATGCCCTAACACCGAAATTTGGTGAAAAATTGTTGTTTTTTGACATTTTTTATTTTTTTAATTAACCTTTTACCCCATGAGCATATTGCGAAAAATGGCCATTTTCACTGAAAAGCCTCCTGTAACAAGTTCAAACTGCTATGAAAGTATGAAAAATGCTTCAATACTAATGAAACTTGGCACAAATGTTGACTACACCATAGGCTCTGTAACAGCATGCTCAATGGTAAATTTCCTGCTACCATGGCAACGGGGGGACATCTCAAAATTCCCAAAAATCACTATTTTGCATTGTTTTTTTCCATCAAAACTGATTTCAAAGTGCTGCAACTTCTCAATGAATTGAGATAGAGTAAAAGGCTTTTCAGCGTCGGTTACTAGCTACCCTAAGATCGACCTGAGGCCATTTTTAGCCTGTCACATGTCCAAAATTATCTTGGAGATGAGGGGGACTCCGCCCCCCTTCAAACCCCCCAAACAGAAGGGGGCACATCCCCCTTCTGGCAACCCCCTGATGTAATATTTGGATGGGGGGCGGCGCCGAAAAAGTGGTCAATTTTTTGAACAACATTTCTCAAATGAAAAACAGTGTTTGGGGCCTAAATAGGGCATTTTTTCACTGTTTGAGGCCTCAAAAGGCGGGGGGGGGGGCAAAAAGCCGTCGAAACACGCTTCTATAAGGGAAAAGGTTAACAAAAAATGATGAAAAACTTTGGAATTACACAAAAACTAGATTTTCCATGTTAACACATGTCCCAACACCGAATTTGGTGAAAAATTGTTGTTTTTTGACATTTTTTATTTTTTTAATTAACCTTTTACCCCATGAGCATATTGCGAAAAATGGCCATTTTCACTGAAAAGCCTCCTGTAACAAGTTCAAACTGCTATGAAAGTATAGAAAAATGCTTCAATACTAATGAAACTTGGCACAAATGTTGACTACACCATAGGCTCTGTAACAGCATGCTCAATGGTAAATTTCCTGTTACCATGGCAACGGGGGGACGTCTCAAAATTCCCAAAAATCACTATTTTGCATTGTTTTTTTCCATCAAAACTGATTTCAAAGTGCTGCAACTTCTCAATGAATTGAGATAGAGTAAAAGGCTTTTCAGCGTCGCTTACTAGTTACCCTAAGATCAACCTGAGGCCATTTTTAGCCTGTCACATGTCCAAAATTTTCTTGGAGATGAGGGGGACTCCGCCCCCCTTCAAACACCCCAAACAGAAGGGGGCACATCCCCCTTCTGGCAACCCCCTGATGTAATATTTGGATGGGGGGCGGCGCCGAAAAAGTGGTCAATTTTTTGTACAACATTTCTCAAATGAAAAAACAGTGTTTGGGGCCTAAATAGGGCATTTTTTTTCACTGTTTGAGGCCTCCAAAAAGGGGGGAGGGGGCAAAAAGCCGTCGAAACACGCTTCTATAAGGGAAAAGGTTAAATGCACATAGTAAAAACTTAAAAAAATCTTCTTTTAAGGAACTAAAAAGAGCTAGAGCTAAGATATTAAGCATGAAATATCTTCTAGTGAGTGTTTACAAAGATTGTTAAAATAAAAGCCCTGGGGTCAAAATTGGTCCTGCCCCAGGGGGTCATTAATTTTCTTTAAATGCAAATAGTAAAAACTTAAAAATCTTCTTTTAAAGAACCCAAAGAGCTAGAGCTAAGCTATTTAGCATGAACGTCTTCTAATGAGTGTCTACCAAGTTTGTTCAAATAAAAAGCCCCGTGGTCAAAATTGGCCCTGCCCCAGGGGATCATTGATTTCCCCTATATGCATATAGTAAAAACTTCAAAAATCTTTTTTAAAGAACCCAAATAGCTAGAGTTTATATTTATAAGTTGAAACATCTTCTAGTGAGTGTCTACAAAGTTTGTTCAAATAAAAGCCCTGGGGTGAAAACTGGCCCTGTTCCAGGGTTGTCATTGTTTTTAACAGTATGTGTTAGTAAAAACTTAAAAATCTTCTTTAAAAAAACCCAATAAACCAGAGCTTTGATGTTTAGCATGAATCATCTTCTTATGGATGTCTTCCAAGTTTGTTCAAATAAAAGCCCTTGGGTTAAAACTGGCCCTGCAGGG